CTGCAGGAGTGTCTGTATCCAACAAGTATGTCTTGTTGAGGTACCCTCATAGCTAATCAATCTACTTGATCTAACAAAAATAACAGAGAGCTAGGAGCATCAAAGGTACCAGTGTGTAGGAGGGTCCATTTGTGGGAGCAGGAAGTGCTGTTGATATGTGCAGTGTTTTTATCAAAACAGTACTGTATTATCCATGACTACAAAAGCGTGTACATCAAAATAATTCCATTAAATTGTGGTATAAGTATGTAACCACAACAGTTAATAACCACCATGCAGCCTGCTCCTCCTCATCATCATCATCATTAGTTGAAGCAGATCATTGGACTTACTTCACCTTAACAGTGATTACCATGGCCTTCAGTGAACAATCTGTAGATTTTTGGAATTTGGAAATTAATTTACTATCCAGTGTCCTGGAACTAATTCACCATGAGAGTTGAGTAAGCTATTTCTTCCCTGAGATGTATTATAATGTACAATAATGACAACACCAAGCTTGCTAACCCTGTATCACATCCAACATGATTGCAAACCCTCTGTGGCTTGTAAATTGGACTCTTAGAAAATCCTGTTGAAGTTCTGTTGGCTAGCACTGGATTGCAGGAGCAGGTAAGCTTAGCACATAAAAGTGGGGGCAATTTCTGTGTGTAGCTCAATTTACATAATACACTGATTCACCCACTTCCCCAAAAAGTTGAAAACAGAAGAGAGATGGATTGGGTGAGGAGGAACTTGGGTGTAGTGGATGCATGAAGGGGGCTATTAGGGTAGTACATTCGATCATTATCCTTACCTATCTTGCTCATTTGTATGCAGACTTGATCCAGGAAAGTTTGACAATTATACAATTTTCCATGGGTGTGAAGACAAGTTAGTGCTTGTCCTATTGCAATTCAATCCTTAGGCACCTAAGCAGAGGAATCTGCAGCAAATATTGAAAATGATTACTTAATGACCAGGCTGCTGGATATTATGTGGGCCAACATGATGCTTGCCTGGAGCACTTCAGTTAATACGACACAGGACATCTTCTTGCATCTTAGAACTGACTACCCAAGCCTGCAGCTTCTGGTATTTTGGGTGTGTGTGTTTGGCACAGAGGTTACAGACCTGGCACTGCACTGTTAAGTAGACAACTCAAAATTCTCTGAGATCAACTTATCAGTTTGTGTAGATTACAAAAAAATTCACATATCTAAGTTACTGATGGTGGACAAACCACAATATCCCCATATGTCCAGAAAGGCTAGTCATCTACAGATGTAATACTATTTTACATGGACAAATACTTGTCAGAGATTGCACTGCAAACGGACTCTGCATTCAAGCTTTACCAGCTTTTGCTGCAAGTAATAATGCACTGCAAGGCCCTCCTCTAAGTGAAGTCCAGTTTTGAGCTTACATGCTCCTGTAACTTCCACTCTGCCAGGCATTCTTCAATTTCTCACGTTGTTGATCTAGTAGAGATGCTGATTTTGATGTCACATCCCACTCTTACGGACGGTAGAAAATCCAAAGACAAGCACAAATTTAATGCGGTCACATCGGAATGACAGTCAACATTACATTCCCTGTAAATTGTTTTAGTTTCTGGTGCTCTGTCAGATGCAGCAGAAATTACTTTTCCTGTACCTGCCATAGATATGCGGGAAGGATACTAAGACACGCTTTGTCCGCTCTACAGACGTGTTAGGACGCGATTGTCGTAGAGTGGAGCAAAACATAGAGAACACAACAGATAAAAATATGACTTAGCTCGGTTGAGCTATTCACACCCATCTATGGCGAACTAGGTGGCACTTGTCCCCGCTCTCTTCTCCTCTCTACACTGCTGCAACGATCTACATATAATTTCAAGCCCAATATGTAGCAGACTGCTCCGTAGAAAAACACAAAAAAATCTTCAAGTAAAAGAGGTTTATCACAACGCTGCTCCTCTTCACTGCAACACCAGGCCAACGTCTGTGCTCGTCAGCAGTGCTCCCTTTGAAGAAGAATCTACCATGTTCAAGGAGATTGATGAGGCGCATGCCAGTGAGATAATCAGGAGGTTGGAGAGGAACAGTAACAGCTGCAGCAGAATTTGGCCTTGGTGCAACTGACATTGTCCTGTCTGCCACGGCCACTGTCGCTCCATTATAAGCTTCACGAAGAACACACTCAGCAAACTGTGAAGTGAGAGCAAAGGAACTTCAACCAAGTCCATAAAGTTATAATGATGGCAATTTGTGGCAAGCCTGGTAATAGCAACAACCATTTCCTGGAGCTAATCCAACATCAGTAGCGATTTGACCCGTGTTGCTCAACTATCGACTTAATCGCCAGCAAGGACAATGCTTAGAGCTCCAGGCTCTGGTCAAAGGATGACTAACAGACCGAGGATCATGGGCTCTGCAACAACTTAGTTTAATATACGAGAGGGACAGACCTAAGTGGAGACAGGTTTCGAGTGCAAAGAGACTATCCTAGTATTTGAATTGTACCATTCACACTATCCCATCCCATTAGGCCTGAATGTTCCTTCACTCACTGTAGGCACCTTTGAACACATTAACCTCGGTCTCATTGTTAGGTTGGAGCTTGGAGGTTGATTGCGGTGGTAGAGAAGCTTCCGAATTAGCATCCCAATGCTGGAATCATCCATTATTTATTGCAGCCGCTTGAGCATACTTGAACACTTAGGAAGTCCTGCAACATGTTGAGCTCAGTGGGGTTGGTCACCACTTCAGCAGAATGATGTATCGCTTTGAAATGATAACACTAGTATGGGTCTGATGAAAGACGGTAGAGCTCGAAGACATAAATCATTTTTAATGCAAGTAAAAATATCGTCACAATCTTAGACATCATACATTTATTATCAACGTTTTTGTTGACGCCACGTCACTTTGTACACAACAGAGTCCACTTACCAAGTCAAGTAAATGTCTGTCTGGTACGAACAGTTTATTCTTTAAGATCCCATACCGCATGAATGCAGTTGTGAAGTGCGTTTTTCACGGATAATAGAATCTGTGAACAACATACCCAACTTTCATGATATCGTAATATGAACAACTATCATTAGACGTACTTGTAATGTAGAAACTTTGCAGAGATAAGAGCTACAGTAACATGACCTTCAGATGCATTGGTCACTGTCTCCAGGTCAGGAGCTTGGCGAGGCGTGAAGGCTCCAATATGTCGTCAATGATTTTCTGCAACACATATGATTATCAATAGTTAATGCTTGTAATAAAAAGCACCTCTCTGCACACATCAACGCATGTAGCAGGTCAATTACCCAATTGAAATTGTGTTGACAACGAGATAGAAACAAAGGCAACTTCAGCAACACCAGCTGTAACACAACTCCTGAACACAGACTTTGAATCAAGTCTGGTGAATGCCTACTTGAGGCACTGAGGTAGCTGTGAGGTTGAAGAAATCACAAAAGGATGCGACAGTTTTAAACTAACTTGGCCTGGTGTTCTGTGTGATTAGAAGGGGGGCTTGCATTTGCTTCAAATAGCGAACTACCGACCTTTTTCCCCCTTTTTCCCCCTTTTTCCCCCTTTTTTTTTTTTTTTTTTTTTTTTTTCATTATTATCTTTCTACAATTGTATGGGAACTCAAGTATCTCAGAACTCTCATAGATATGTCATCGAGGACCTTGGATTGTGCCCTGGAAAAGTTGGTGATGACCCGCATGTTACGGCGAGCGTGAGACAAACCTTTCGTCGAAGTATATGCCTGGTAATGGTTTCCACTGCATACATCTCTGCACAATTTCTCTAGGTGCGACGTCACGTAATTGCTACGACACTCAGCAGCCTTTACGCAAGTCAACCTGAAGCGATGATTAACCTCTGACTGGTGAATGCTTAACTTGGGACAAGCAAGGTTACGCCTCCGACACCTGCACCTTGGTTTGCATAAACCTGAAGCCCTGACAAACGTTGCCGAGCATGTTTCAGTGATATCAATGCTTGAGAGCTACACACACCATTATGAAATGTTAACACAAAGATAGAATGAAAATATGAAAAGATAGATTTTACTAGAGTTTGATAGAGAAAAAATGGTTATGCACGTTGCCGGAGTACGTATTGAGGGGCATTTGGATTACTGCGTCCACTGGTTTCTGCACGATGAGCTCCTCATTATGATTCTGATTCAAACAGAAATATCACCGATTGATTCTAGACACAAAAGACGCTGATTGCAGTTAAACATAGCACACGTTCTGTATGTTGTTTTGTTGGAGAATTATTTAAAATTTTATATGTTATTCAATTTATTTGTAAATATGATCCAAACGAGGTGAGTTTGTATAACAATCAAACTGATATATATATATATATATATATATATATGTATGTCCTCTTGCATGGTATGATAAATTAAAAGAATGTCAATATTTGTTCATTACAAGAAGTCTAATTAAATTGCTCAAATTCATAATGTGTTATATATTAACCACTTATCAAAAAAATTAAAAAATGTAGTCATTTGAGGAATCAAAACTTACCTTGGGGTACTGATTTTTTTTAAATGACATTTTTGTGATCTAAAACAATTACTTACTAATGGATATATCACAATGTTAGATCTAATAATAAAATAAAACAAACATTTTTATTTTATTTTACATTCTTATTAAAATCCTTTAGATTATTTTAAAATCTTCTTTAAAAAAATGTATTTAAAAATTACTACTAATAATATGTGCAACAAGTCCCCACAAACTTAGACAAAAAGTTTTTTCTTTTTTTCTTTTCAAAAAATCCTTTAGAAGTAACATAAACTAGAGCGAGACTAAATCCCTTCTTGTTCTTTACTTACTTTGTCAATACTTTTGCAAGTTTGGTTGAACTTGTGAAATGCTAAACAATCAACACACTATTATATTGATTATTGCAATCACAGTATTCAAAATGTGTAATAATCCACTCATTCTTTAACACAGTGCTCTCACATTACAGCAGGTTGCATAGCGCAAGCACCATGAAGAAATCCCAGCACTAAAAACCCTAATTCATGGACCTTGAAGCTCCCTAACAAACCAATGAAGTGGGTTGACGTCCATAGCCAGTTTTCACAAGCACTGTTCGTCTTTCGTGGTGAAAACTGGAAACCCTAATCTTGCTATGGAGTGCAGTGGGGTGGAGCTTCCGTAATGGGTTTATAGGTCGAGGTCTCCCCCGCTGAGTTTACATGGAAAAGGGTTTAGCATTCGTGCAATTCGTGCTAGCTCCATAAATCTGTAGCCAGCGTGTAGCAGAACATGGAAACTGCAATACCCAGATGAAACCACATTAAGGCTTCAAACCAATTCGAGGGGTTCAGAAAGTGATTGAACTTTTTTGCATCACGCCGCGTTTGGAATCTTGTTGGAGTAGCTCTGGTGTCGGATTTTAGCCTGTATGTCGCCTTTGCCTACAGCCCCCAGGTACTCATAACGGATCCTTTTAGTTCTGTCGGAAAACCCTAAAATGTTGTCAGAGTTGATGTACTATCTCCTGAGAACCACCTAGCTCTCCATCACCACTCCAACATTGTGCTGATGTAGGCTTTCATGGGATCTTGCCTTTTTGTCGTCGCCAAACCCTATATTGCGGGCCTTGGTAAGTTGGGTTGTTGTACTGATCACTCAATATTGTCCTTGTCATACGTGATTCTTGCAGTCACCTGATCTGATTTATCTTCGGTTTTTTGTAAGCTTGCTGGTTCAGGAGTCGAAATTCCGAGAAACAGAGTTTGTGTTAATTTGTGAGAGTACTGTCAGAAATGTGAAGCGCATATCAGGAAGAAATTAGTCGAGATGGTGAACAATGTGAATGGAGTGTTTTATGCGACTTCATACCATCCAATTCAAGCCGGCAGCATTGACGGCACTGACATCACAGCGCACGATAATGGAGTTTATAGAGCACTGTTGGCATCCACAACTGGCCTCTGTGAGTTTTCTTCTCCATGGTTTTGGCTGGATTGGCAGGTTGATTGATAATTGGAAACACGTCTAGGGTTACAAATACAGAATACTACCACTCTCACGTCATCTGATGTCTGCCTCGAATAACTCAATGTTTGAGTAATTTTAAACATTCCTGTTCATCTTTGGCAATCATTTTGCAGTTTTAAAGTTTCTTAGGGCATATGTTATACCAAACTCGTTTACAAGACTTAGTTAGGTGTTAGCTGCGATCTGCCAGAATCTGTCACAATCTAGTCTTTGAAATGAGTTGCCGACTAACTGTAACCTATCATGGTTCGCATCTTTATTTGGTGTTCAATGAAAAAGTGGACACAATGACATACTGGGAAGCATGCTTACGATGTCACAGCTACATGATGAGATCCATCTTGCCAGTAGTCAACTTCTGGATCGCTATTGTGATGTTTTTCTTGGTCTACAGACGATCCTCTCGGAGATCCTAATGCAAAAGGAGACCCATATTGTTCTTTGTTTGTGGGCCGACTTTCAACCCAAACTGATGAGAAGTCACTCCATAAGGTATGGTATTCAGTTATTCGCCAAGATCATACACTGGTACAAGTTTTTGGAGTTGGAGTTTTGAATTGTTTTAAGTTCATGAATTTTTATGTAGATGCTCACTCGTACATCACTTCCATGTGCTGCGTTGCCATTGAGTATTGATATCCAGTTGCAAGGAGTGATACGACAGCAGAATTGGATTGAATCATACTAGGAATATCAACGGAATAGCAAGGATTGGTCTCTTGTAAAATGACCTGTGAGAAAATTGTGACCTCACTATGACTGACGCTTTTATGGTGATCTGGACTGCAGGCTATGTCAAAATTTGGCAGAATCAAGAGCCTCCGACTGGTTCGTCACATAGGTTAGTTGAATTTGTCTACATTGTTAGGTTTGATTTCGTTTTTCCATCTTTGGTCATGTTCATAAATATATTCGGTTCATTTTACTGGGTGTGGTAAGTGGTTGAAAACACGATGGCTTGTTATTCCTAGCTGGTTTGATTTTTCACATCGTGTCTCGATTTTGGCAGTGACAGGCGCTTCCTGTGGCTATGCATTTGTCGAGTTTGAGACAGAGAAAGAAATGTATATGGCGTATGAGGTATGCTTTTCTATACTATCGATTGCACATACTTTGGCCTGTTAGCAGTTCTGCTTGGGTAACCAATAGGCTTGATTTGTCATAACAAACAATTAATGTGCACTGATCAACAGTTTTTTTGTGGTTCCACCTAGTCTCACAGAATTTGCAAGAGTTGTAGATTAGAACTTGTTAATGACTTAAACGATTATGATTTCGGTCGGATTTGATGTTTGTAAGTGCAGGGTGCACATCTTTCTAAGTTGGATGGAGCCAGTATACTTGTGGACTATAATCGTCAACAATTAATGCCGGGATGGATTCCTCGACGTCTTGGTGGGTATTCATTGATGTTGATGGTTGAGATTGTTGTGTTGCATTAGTCATTATATCTACGTCATGAGTATATCAGTAAAATTACTTCCAAACTTTCGTTTTTGTCCTTCACCATTTTAAGCCTTAGTAGTCTGTATCTTTTCTCATCTCGTCCACGGTTTTGATGAAGGTATGCTGTCATCGAAGCAAACATATTTTCAGGTAGAAGTGTGTCGATTAATAAATAGGTTGCAATACTCTCCACGAGTTGATTCAAATTTGTGATGTTGTATGAGCAGGGGGAGGTTTGGGAGGGAAAAAAGAATCAGGGCAGCTCAGATTTGGTGGCCGAGATCGCCCTTTCAGGGCACCATTGTACTTCCCTCCACCGTCCGTTTGGTTGTAAATAAAAGTATTCTGCTCTTGAAGTTATTTCTTGCTGCCTGGTTTCATCGGGCAAAGAGCCCTTCTCTTAGAACCAACATTTGTGGACGTTTTTTTTAAAATTTTAATTTTTTTGTAAATGATGTCTTACTGAAGCATTATTAGCATCATACAACTGGAATAACGAAGGTGGTTTGGGCATTGCAGGCGACCCATACCACACGAGGAACTTCAAAAGTTGGGTATTCCACTTCCACCTGAAGGCCACTACATGACTCGCTTTCAGGTATCTTTTTCTTCAATACTTTCTGTGTCTCGATGATTATGCTGTACTCTTGCTAAATGGTATGTTGTGAAGCAATGAGTATAATTCAAGGCTACTTGCCCTTGAGCTAAAGTCATGGGAGTTGAAAGGTCTCGTTCTGTTGATTTCATATGAAAGATTTATCACGAACAGTCCTAGTATCACTAGGTCACCTACGTGTGAGTAAATTGTACCAAGTATTGTTCAGATGAAGCTTAGTTCAGTCCAGCCATTGAATATGCGGACGGTCTAATTGAAACCTGTATTCAGGCGTTCTGCCATCTGTCTTATGGTGGTGTGAATATTAGGTTTCTTATTAGTAAGTTTTTTCCTGTGCATGTAGGTTCCGCCTCTACCACAGCGAATGCACAGCACAACCAGTGAGTACGACAATAGGTCCAAATTTAGTGAGTTGAGACACCATCGCGTAAAAGATGTAGGCGGTAGGGAGGTCAATGAACATGCGTCCAATAAAGGCCATGGAAGTGAATCTGGAGAAGCAAGAGAAAGAGACTGGCACAGGCGGCGGAGAGTTGATCACAGGGACCATGATGAAGCAGAGCAGTCTCGTAGCTACCGAAAGGTTATGGTTGAGGATCGTGGCCAGGAGGAGATTCCAAGAGAGTCTAAATACGAAGGTTTTGAGTTCGAAAGCAAGAGATCAAACCCTAAAACGTTTAGAGATGACCAAAGAACTGAGGATACACATTATGGTGAAGAGGCGATTGAACGGAAACGTAGAAGGGAGCCATCTCATGCATCGCACGAGTATGAGGAAGAAAGGAGACAAAATAAAAGGCGGCAAGCAGAAGATAGTAGGGAGCACTCAGCGGAGAGAAGTTGGAGATATGACCCACAATATCGTGCGAAGACGAACCGGAGCTCAGATTACCATTCAGAAAAGTCATCTGAATGGAGAGAAGCAGAATCCGAGCAGTCTCGTAGTAGAAGAGATACCGAGCGTTGGGATGCTCATGGTCGAGATCTTGAGCCGAGAAATCGGTGGGAGGAGCCGAGTGATCACAAGAAACCCAGCAGACACAGTGAAAAGAAGCATCGACACAGTGAGTCGACACACCAACATAGAGACAGAGACCAAGGATACCCAGAAGAAGATGGAATCAAACGTCACAGAAGTCACCGTAAGCACAAGCACAGAGAGCGGTCTGTAGAGGAAAAGTTTGACATCGAAGAAATGGAGAGGAGAAAGAGTAAGGATCGATAACATGGCATTTTAGTTTTTCTCATTTCGTGCTGTTAAAACTGAGATTTAAGGTAATGTATACTGTGTCCAGTGTTAGATGCTCACGCTTGGTGAATTTGCCAGGATTGAAAGGATTTCTTTATATTGAACCTAACTTTGTTGCATCTCTAGAGTTTTTGGAAGGAATGAGATGTGGTGTAAGTCATGTGTGGGCAGAGTCATTATACTATGCAACTCTTTGCATTTCACTAGGTTGGGGACAGGTTCTTGTTGTGCGTGGTGACATGCAATTTTTTTTTGAAAGGTTTCTAAACACGTTTGCATCTGCTCTTATAAAATAGGCTTCACTTTTGTTTGTTTGTTAGGTGAATGTGATAACGCAGTTAAATTGAAGATTAAGACTGCAGATTCCCACATCAAACATTTTTCTTTCACACTTCTGGGACTCAACTAGGTTTCATGGTCCAGTTGTGGCAACAAGATCCCATTAAATCTTACCCATTGTGGTTTTTTGGGGAGACCCTTCGAACCTACTTGGATTAGCTTCAAAAGTTATGCCTCCCACAAGATTCTTTTTAACATTCAATACATTTCATGACAATAAAGATAAATAACAACTATCTTTTTTAGCATCATTTTACAATTTACCATGTTTTCTTATCTTGTTTCTTTCCATCCTGGATCGTATATATATATATATCTATTGCAAAACACATTTTGTTGGAAAAATGTATATGTATATACAGCATTAAACAAATCACTTGATGAGTTTTCAAGAAATTCTAGTCTATTTTCACACAATTTATGAAAAAAAAATTACAATCTTTTAAACAAATGAATATTAAAAGAATATTAAAAAAATTACAAACTTTTAAACAAATGATAATTTTGTTTCAAAATCAAATTTATTTGTTTTTATCTCGTAGTTAAATGATTGTTAGAAACCTTAAATTCAAAGACTGTAAGTTGTCTTATCATATATTTTAAATTTGTAGAATTTTACATCTTTTAAATATTATTCTAGATTTATTTTATTTCTTTAATATTACAAGCAATTCTGAAAGCAAAGTGCACAACAACATATTGTAAATAAAACTTGTTATATGGTAAAATACAATAAAACCTGTTGTATCAATTAAAACATTCATCTGATTTTTTTGTGATATTTTAATTTTAATATGTGCTTTTTTAAAAGCATGTTTAAGATTAAGTAGATATAATAATTGAAACAATTTAAAAAATAATAACCAAAAAAATATAAAATATAGATATAGGTCAAACATTTAAATTAATTTGATTCTTTTAATACTATTAGGCCATTTCAATTTTACATAAAAATTAAATCAAATTAAAAAAATAGATTTCAAACATAAGTTGTTACAATATAACATCTAGTTGTTTAAAATCTAATATTGTATAAACTCCACAAAAAGATAAAATAATAGTAATATCTTAGATTTTTTTACTTGATAACATCAATAATTACTCTATCACTTTTAAGAATGTCATTTTTTTGTTATGATATGATTTAACTTGATAAAAGAATTTGTATTGAAAACAATTTATTCTAATATTTTACTTGGTACTAACTCCAACATCTCATCCATTTTGCACTACTATCTTTATAAGTTTAAAATCTCAATCGAAAAGACTTTGAAGATTCCACATCATATAATCTAATTTATTATTTTAAGATACCATCACAATCCTTGTCTAAACTCTATGGTAATTTAGTTCATTAAATTGTATACATTCATTCATGCTACACCACCAAACAAAATAATTGCAAAAACTTTATATCCAATACTAAAATTCTAAAATTAAATATTTTTTAAACTAACCACTTCTTTGATTTAATTTCTAAATTAATTTACAATCAACTTGGTTCTATATAATTAGTTAGCTTTTAATTTTATAATTTTCTAACCACCAATTAATTTAACAATGTGTTCTATTTTTTAAATTATAGAATTCTTTTCAACATGTACCATGTCTTCTTTTAAACACATTCTAAACCTTCTTTTCTTTATTAATTTTATTTTAATTCAATTATCTAGTGATAAAATTCTCAACTATAATAAATAATTCTTGTTGTTTTGTTTTTAAAAATTAGAAAACATCATCCAATATATATATTGATTATGACCAACTCCTATAATGACTTATTATTTGTACATCTAATCATATACTATATATATATATATATATTAGATGTTGCTAGTTCTACAAAAAATTTATTATTATATATATATATATATATATATAATTGATCAATTTCATGTAAAATCACTAAAATATAAATGTGAGGTTGAAGATGAGAGATTCAAGTAGATAGAAGATGTCTTTCCAACTCAATATAAATCTTTAAGATTTAAAGAATTAGTCTTTCTTGGCTTAAAAAAACTAACTTCTCACACATTGCAAAGCACCAAACAATTTCTTTGAACCTTAAGTGTTCCAAGTATGGTGCCGTTTTCAATTGGAATTTCTACTATTGCTACTTGTTGAATAAGGTGCTGCAAATTGTGAGTTGGAATACATGAGAGCTATATGAAGGTAGATGAGGAACACACTGTTAACTGACCATTGTTTCACTGATGTAGCAGCTCTGCAGACTTTGTCCAAAGCTAAAAAAATATTTAGTTTTTGCAATGCAGATCATTGCCCAAATGCCGACATTACCACAATTCTTCTGTCCGTCACAAGACTTTCATTGACCTTCACTATGCCGTTCGAATTCAGTGTGTGAGAGCTGGCCAGGAAATATTGATACGTCATACAGAAGTTGCAGTGCAAGAAAGAAGAAGGAAAAGTCAAATATCTCAGCAGGATGCAAACACCACCCAAAATGGAATATCTATCATTATCCACTTGCTGCATGCAAAATCGCTACATGCAAAATCACAACTATAAATCAAGATTTTCTCAACGTTACCCTGATGGACTTCAAATTCTCAGCTTTTCGGAATGTTTTTCATATGAGGATTCAACATATGATATCATAACATATTGAGGAGCACCAAATTAGCAAACCTGGACACCAAACAAAATTTCCAGGTTCCCGTCCCATACATTTATGGGTCCACATAAAAACGTCCAAAATTTCAGTGAGATACATTTCAAAAGCATGAATTCACAAATGCAAGAAGACATGGAGTGTTGTGACACTCCCTGTTTTAAAATCAATGATGCAGGTGGTGTATTGATACAAGGGATCTAGACAATCCACAATGTGTGGACAGGAGGTGTGCTAGTAGTAAACAATCCTCACACCACGAGGATATTGGTCATTTTTTCTGTATGTACAATTCAATTTCACATTTCTATCTGTAAACTACTGATGCAAACTTTCTCGCAATCTCCTTCCCACTTCTTAACTGCTCTTGGATTTCGACGCAACCAAACCTGGGCTCTCTCTATCAAGGGCCAAGATAAAAGTTAGTTGGTGACTATATGCAAGGAAATCCTACCCTCAACGCTTCAACATGCAACTGGGACTGCACCGCTTTCTGTTCCCCTCTCCATTTTCTCCGCTTGTGTGCCGTTTTCAGTACGTAAGACCAAGAGAAAGAGATACATGCTTGCGGATAACCGTATGTGAATCAGAGAGAGAGAGAGAGAGAGAGAGAGAGAGAGATGCCAAGCAAGTAAATTAGCGACTTGCAAGTCATGAATCTATCTTCTGCGTATTAGAAAACATTTCTGCACCAAGAGTCAGTATAAAGGGTGCTGCAAGCTCTTCACCATTGCTTGAGATCAAATCCAGCTTGCATGGCGTCGGTGCAATTCAAGGATCTGTTTGGGATCATCGATCGATCAAACTTGATGTTCCTCTCGGGAATGTGTGATGACCTTCATGTACAATAACGGGGTGGATGTGTGAGGCGCTGAACACCAAGTTCCCTATGTTGCCGCGACTAGACTGGTAATGTATTCCCACATACCGCTGGAGATCACATCGGCTGGGCGATCTGAGCGTAATTCCACAGATCAAGCGAGGAGACGATGTCTGAGTTTTGTCGCTTGAGCTGGGGGAGAACACCTGTAACGTCGTCGTGGACAAGCTTGGTCATTGAAGGGCACCGCAACGAGGCTTTCAGCACTGGTGCTGGACGCACAGGGTCCTGTAACAAAGCGCTCCAATCGACGTCGTGGAAGGATCCCGAGATTGTTTCTTCGTGGTTCAGCTCCGTGTCGTCACTGCCACTAGAAGTCTGGGGATCATTAAACTCGCACAAGCCCGAGTTTGACGTTTCTTGATACGAATTCATGAAATAGTTGACATCGTCTGGTCTATTCAAGCTTGAGGGGTATCCTAGCTCCCGCTGGTTCAGATACTGGTTAGACTGACGGAGTTGATAGTCGTCAAGGCTAATGATTTCTCGCTTGACTCCGGAAGATTTTTCAAGAAATGTTAACTGGTCGTCTCCAGGTAGTACGTTGGGAGTGCCCGCCGCTTCTGGAGGCAGCGCACCCATTTGCCCTTCGTAAGAAATAGCTCTTTCTTGCTGCATTTCCATCATCAGGTTTTTGTTCTTCTTGAATACACGGCAGACCACCCACCCACCGTCCTGAAAATCCAGTGAATAATTTAATAGGTTATCAAAAACCTGGAATACGAACTGCAAACTTGTCATAAAAAACAAAGACGGAAAAAACAGTAAGAAAAGTACAGAAATTGAAAGGTGAGCAGGAATTTACATGGGTTGGTCGTTCGGATCCGTCGTCAAGGCGAAACTCGTGCATAATCCAGTCAGTCTTGATGCCATGTGGAGCACGGCCTTGATAGAATACGAGCGTTTTGCGCATGCCGATCAGAGTTTGGTTTAGCTTAGTGTGAATGGGTTTGTCGCGTCCAGTTGCCTTCCAGAAACCCATGGTGGTGGCGCGATTGGCTCGGGTGCCGGTGGGATACTTCTTTCCCTTGCGGCTGAAGAAATAGTAGTCGATTTGCTTCTCGTTTGAGCCACCTTGAGTCATGCATAGCTCTGAATCACAACAGCAATTACCATGTCAAGCCAAGTCCCGGCAATCTTAGTGCACAATAGTATACACCGATAAAATCTAAAACAATATGGTAGCTTAAAGCCCTTATTGATTTTCCAAATCCAATCCTGAATTCTCTGCATCTATCACAAGAACAGATGCATCAGAGTGTGATGGTTTGCACTCACGATGAAGATCCCATGGCTCAAACTTGTACAGATCCAATTCGCGAATGAGGTCAAGGTCGATCCTCCTGTCACTGACCTTCTTAGGGAGGTAATATCCCACCAACTCTTCTTCTGTGGGGTGGAATCTAAAACCTACTGGAACTTTGGGAGCTAGTCGGCTCATCTTGCAGGGATCACTACTCTTACACTGCTTACAATTACACAAGTCAACACCGCAACAACACATCAGCATGCCATCCGCACACTCTCGCACCATTCAATAGGAACTACAAGAGTGCAGAACACTAAAAATATCCAATGTGTTGTATCCAACGACGAACCAACTCCTACCTCGAAAACAACGCATTCCTCTCGGAAACCGTGCGCAAAAAACAGAAAGTCTGGGGAATTCAGCTACCGACCACAAACTCTCTTCCAGCGGAGGTCCCGAGGATGAAGAGTGACACAAGCTAGAGAAACATGCGATGCGTATTCGTATCATAGTGCCAAAAGATCTAGAACCATCGAATCGGTGTACTTTGGTGGTAAACCTCCTACTCAGTTTGCTATGAGTTCACATGAAGCTGCAGAAACGAACACCCTTGCACAAGGTTTGTGGGACACACGATCAAGCTTCTTCAAGAAGAAGAGGAGTTATTTATCCTGCAGACATCGAAAGGATTTGTACAGACACGCTGTTCTTACCACCTACCCTCCGCAGCCACGTCAGTGATCCGAAGCGGAAGATACTCGGGGGTTGCAGAAGCCCACCAAGTTATCATAGAGTACTACTATAATTATCGCAAAACATATCAGACACTTTGATGACAAGCCTCGTGCAGAGTTCCTTCTGTTGGCCAGCAGTAAATCCAAAAGTAAAAACTGCATGATGAGAAAAGCTCCCTAATCCCTGAACACTAGAGATTGCCTTTGAGTTCGCATGTAGATCGTAAAGTTGATCAGTACAACTTTATTCTGGAACTATTGACAGGCAACCTTTTTGCTGCTACCTTGGAAACTGGGTTATGATTGGTGGAGTCTAGTTCTAGGACGTGCTTTATAGGAAGAGGAGAAGAGGGTTCAAACGTGGAAGCTGGAAGGGCGAACGCGGAACCATGGAAACTTTCGCATGTCAAGTGTAATTAACCGAAAGCTATCCTTCAACATGGAAAATCATGTGCATGATACGAATCTTCCTGTGGTGCTCCGAGCCTCGCACGGGTCGGTGGTCACATTTTGCACACTTCGATAATCTCAAGTGTACCCCCACCAATTCAGCCGAAAGCTGCTGCGATTGTTTGCCGCAGTTCGAGATTAACATCCGGAGAGAATAGTCAAAGTGCTCCGTGATCCAGGTAATCCCAAGTGTCGCAAAAAAAAAAAAAAAAAAAAACAAACTCAACTGTACAACAACAGACCAATCAATATTTATTTTCATGTAACGTTGTCTATATCTCGATCTCGACCGCTGTCTAATCACTGTTGACAAACCAACACACTTTAGCAATGACTAGATCTGGTATACATCAGTTAGTGGGTACATCCGTGACATGCGACTTTAAAACTGCGCGAGAGAACCCAGACAACTCAACATAGACACCGAAACACCAGTAAGATAAACCTCATGCTTGTACAGGATTTAGATTCTGTACAAGTGTGACGTGACTCAGCAAATGATGGGTAGATACATTTCCTCGTCTACCGAAAATTTACTAGGAATTATATTGTAAATGTCATAAAATGCGCTCACCTCCTCATTCGATCTGCCACATCCTCCTCTCACACTCCGCACTGCTGCTGGAACCCTTCGAGGAATGCAGGTGGAGAACTACGTTCCTTGCTTTACAACCACCAGAAGTCTCAATAGAACCTATACGAGTTACCGCCATACCCAACATGCGTAATCTTTCATACAGGCTTCAAGCTTTAATATCATGACCATCAAGAAAAACGCCCGATCAGAAGGATATGGAATATGCACATGTCATCAGGATGGCGATCCTCGCATAGCAAGTTCCACCTCTGGTGACAGCAGTTTCAGCAACAAGATAGACAAACAATACAACAACATACGCTACTAAACGTCAGCAATCATATCATGTACATAGTAATCTCCACCACGTCCTAGAGAATGTGGTGCAGCACTTCCATGCGCAGATGCTATCCACCGTATGGTGCTCGAGTGCTACGGGAACAATTGGATGTGGGACAGCACAAGACTAGGCAGCAGCACTTCCCAAGGCTGCGCAGGGGAAGGACAGTTTCTTTGCCAGTTGAATCATGATCCAGAGCTCAGTGCACCAGTAGAGAAGCTGGCACGAGAGCTGGGCATATGGCCCGCAAGCACAGCTTTGGATATTGTGGCAGAGGGACATGAGAGAGAGAGAGAAAAAAAAAAAAAAAAAAAAAAAAAAAAATCAAAACAAAACAAAACAAAACAAGGAACGCGGAGCCACGTTGAGGTCTCAGTCATGTCAGGTTTTATGTGCATCTTGTAAGGTGAAAAAAATTGTTTCACTGTGCATACAGGTTCCGGAAGTCTCACTAATCCTCACACTCTATATCTGAACACGTCCGCTGGTTCTTACTTTTAAAGTGCCACCGTAGTTACATCGAGCACCGCGACATTCTCACTTGGTAGAGATTGGTATGGGATGTGTCCCCTAAGGCTGTGACAAGGTGTGTCATTCATACTGTACGATCTTACTATTTAGCTTTTTCCCATCGCTGTAAATTGAAAATTCTTCCCGTGCTCCCAGAATACGTGATTGGAGCACGAGATACCACTCCAATTGAAGCTTCTATTCTCACACATTGGAATCAATACGTTTTGGAATCGTTCCCAAGAGCATATTCCAAGTCAGAGCTATATATAGAACAGGCGTGGAATCTGGGCGCCCTGGATCATAGGCGGTAGATTCAGCGAAATTACAGAAATCCTATCATGACTAGGCAAAAATTCAGGACAAGACAGTCTCATTTAGATCAAAACTGTCTGATGAAGATGAACTCGGCAAGCTGCGGCCGGCGAGCCACTGGAGGTGATTTAACACCCAAGGCTGTACCAGAAGTGCAGCGCGTCAAAAGGCGTGTCATTAAGAAGGTTGCCGCAGTGTAACGCATAGAATGTTTCGACCTTCTGCATAATCTAGAGAATATCGATGGGGGTGAGATTGAAACCGACAAAAGGAGGATTTCTCAGCCCAAGTTGAGTGCTGAACAAGCCACCGCACATGCCGAAGCAAACAACAGCAAATTTAAGGGTTACAAAAATGCCTGAGACTGGCAAGGGTGTAGCGAAGTTACGGATCTGAACGCTTCTAATCCTCTAGCATATTTGAAATTTGTAGAATTTTCTCGTAAGTTATATTTCTCCCGAAATATTGAGGGGCATTTGGAAAAAAGCTTTACTAGTACTGAACACTCCAGAGACAAACTCCTTGTAAAACATCTGAGAGATGTACAAAAACCACAAACTCAGAAACAAGACCCAAAGTTTCCCGCTTCTCGTTCGTCCCCGCGACTGATCGATGCATTCATTTTTTACCCATAACAGTGCTCACCGACCCAATTCCTAAAGAACCGATTCAACTCCGAACCACTAAATTCGCAGACTTTGTTGAAAATATCTCTCCACCAAGGTGATCAGGCGAAACGGATACACTCCTCAAAATGACATTAAATTGTAATGTACAACCACAGCAGGCACAAGCGAGAGAGAGAGAGAGAGCTAGATGGCGGAAGTGTACCCTGGAAAAGACACGGATCACAACCAGAACGTCCACCCGCAGCAGAAGCAGCAGCAGCAGCAATCATCCGTGGCCGCTGCACAGACTCAGGTACTCTAATCCTATCACTCGGAACCCACCCTCTTCAAAACCTGATCGACTTAGACTTTGTCTAGCTCTTCCAACCAGGAGATGCTTCCACAGATAGATCCCTCATGGTCTCTGAAAACCAAATGGCTGATGGAGCGGTGAGCACCAGAAGCTCCGATGAAAGAGGCACACACACTTACTTACTTACACACGGAGAGAGATTCGTAGAGCCTCGGGGGAGTGGCGAAGATTATAAGAGCGAGGGAGAGGGGATGCTCGAGGAGTAGTAATCCGTCGTGTCGGCCAACACGCCTCCGCACCTCAACTCTCCACGGTACACCCTCAGCTCTTCGCATTTGCACATCATGTCTGCCCGCATGCCTTTGCTTCGGGCTGGCGGGCGGGCAGGGGGGTGCTTGACCTCACTGCCGTCACTGTATTCTCATCCTCCTCCTCCTCCTAGCAAGCTCTCAAAAACAACGCCTGGATTTTCTGCAGGATTTCCACTCTCGTCACCACCACCACCACCCCCCGCAACTCTGTACCCTTCTTCTCAGCTATTGTTTTCAGATTCCACTTTGGGAAGCAAAAGCAAAACAAATAAGAAAGAAAACACATACCTTCACATTCAGACACCACCATGAATGGAATTGCTTTGCCTTCGATGTTGCCGCAGAAAACGATTCTGGAATCAATCTCCCTAAACTCTGCTGCATTTTTCTGAATTGGGATGGCGTGGGATTGTTCATTTCTTTATGGCTTTCTTTTTGTCTTTTTTCTTTTTTCCTTGAGGTTTTTTTGTTCTCATGAGGACATCTAGAAGAAACATGAGGTGATCTTTCCAGTGGTATGCTGACCCTGCCACCTACTGTATTACACAGCCTAATGTTGTGGTTTTGTGTGATTGATCCAGTCTTGAGAGAGCATTGGTAGGAGTCATTAGTTGCTCAATGATTTGCTACCCCCACATTGGGGCTCTCACATTCTATCTCTTTCTCTATCAGAAGAGTTGTGTTGTCTGATTGAGGTGTGTGCTATCCTGCAAGTTTTTTTATCATGTTTTCTTAGGTTCCCAGTCCAGGCCAAGTGAACTAGTATTGAACTCTTTTGTCCACCGCTACCCAGAACTTCATTTCCCACAAACTAGATGCCTCGTGTTAAGAAAAATAATACACAAAATGGATGAGAAAAAGCATTCACCCTTATTTTGTGCCATCTTCAATAGATGTCAGCAATTATTGCAAACCAAGATGAAATTTTTGGCAACATAATTTCTTATTTGATTAGGGTTGCTTCACAAGGTGGCCAAAGGAAGCTCCTAAACACAGTCACCAAAGGCTTGTGCAGCTACATTTGAGCAGCACATTCTCTTGGTTCTACTGAACAGCATCAGGTCATGGCCCCCATGTCCAAAGAGAATAAGAAAAAGGGGGTTGGGGATAATTTTGCATCCAGTTTTGATTGCTTGGCCAGCATCTGTTGGAAACAAGCAACACATCTTGCACCATTGCATGTGAGATTGTGACCATATTCACATTGTTCATGTTTTTTTTAACCCACCAGTCTTTGTCAATAACAAAACAATAACATCCATGCTGTGAATAAGAACCCTGATGCCAATACTTTGAGGCACTCACTCTCTGATAATAAGTTCTGAATATGGCATCTTTGAGATGATGTTGTGCTGTGCTGTGCTGTGCAGTGAGAGAGAGCGAGAGAGAGAGAGAGAGGTGTTGCTATCTAGACCCACTCTTTTCACTTTGCGATATACACACGCACACACTCTCTCTCTCTCTCTCTCTCTCTCTCTCTCTATGTGTGACGTAGATTATTAGTAATTCTTCATACAGCAGCATCATCCATTTGGTGGGGTTCATTTCCTGCCCTTTTTGGTGCCTTTGCTTTGCTTTGGCAGTGCATAAATTGGAGTCTTGTTTTGTCACTCACGCTAAGAAATTGTGAGAATTACTTCATGGTTAATTAACTTCTGCCACGTTCCTGTTGTTTAATTACACGTTGTTGTTGGGGGCTATGTGTAAGTTTACTGTGTTGTGGAGGAAGTTGGGAGTTGTGTGTGAACAAGCAAGAACCTTTTAACAAGACAAGTAGAATTATCTTCATGCAATGTTATGGGCTAATTACTGTCCTTTTCATTTCACAAACACATGC